TCGCTTGCGAAGAGCAGCTGTGCCGGACCTCTAACATTAAAACTATGGAGGGGGAACAAAAAAGTAGCTGAGTTGTGATTTATCACACAACATGGGAACTGAACCTCATCAGGAAAGAAAACTATACAGGTAAATACAACATACAATTAGTCAGTATGAAAATTTTTATATATAATATCACATCTTCAGAGTAATAATTAACAAAGGATCTTACAGGATCAGCTGTTGTTAGGGGTCTGTAATCCAAGCTTCCTCTGAAGTCTCTGATCATACACATAATTTCATAATTTGGATTTGTAGCATCAACATCCTATTAGAAAACAAGATTTGGCACCTATTATACTTAATTACATTGTATGTGTTGCATATAGTTTGGAAACTGCAGTTCAAGCACTGTCATTTGTTAACCAAACCCAAAGTAAAACTATGATGTAATTTCCAAGTTCAGGTTAGTATGTTCTGAATCACTTTCACATAAATAACATGATTCTGTTAATCTGCATGTATCCTTGTGCACTCCAAAGTTTCCTCATTAAAATTATCCTTTAATTACTTAAAAAAATCACTTATATAACACATTTGCTCTAATTATGTCAGAAAATATATCAAGGGGAACAGCATTCTAGAACACTGGCAAAGAACTCTAGGAAGGTTGAAACTGGGAAAATGCATCCCACACCCCAACTCAGAACTACTTCATCTAGTGTTTCAATATTAAATATCAACTTTGCACAAGTCACCATGAGGGCGTTGTTCTTGCAGTCGCACACACGAGGCTCCTTCTGTACCTCTCTGTCCATCGTTACTGCTCTTCCCAAAGCACTACTCTTTATTTTTCTCTGCCTATGCCAGTTCTACTGTCAAAACATTGAAGGATTCTTTGAAAAATCTGGCCCGCAGGTGTAAGCATGCTGTTTAGTTACAAATATCTGTACTATTTTTAAATACAGCCTTAAATTAAAATATGGATTCATTTCTATTCATCTCCTCTGTCTTTGTTAACTCTAAAATAACCAAGATGTTTTTAAAAAAAGCAATACAACAAAACTTAAAACACAAAGAAAGATAATTTGCTTGCTTTTTTGTTGTTTGCAGCCAGCGTTTCTTGTAGCTGATCTTTAGCTCTTGTCCTCCTGCCTCTACCTCCAAGGTGATGACATATGTCACTACAAGCAGCTCAAAACCAAGATATTTAAAAAGTTAAAAAATTTAAAGTATTGAATTCTGACAGAAATTTATTCCAAATTCAATACTGACTAAGTTTTGTTTAAATGGTCAATAGCCTCCCTGTAATGAATAATAAATCACTAATACTAAGATTTTTCCATTCATTTTCAGACTTATACTGAAGAACAGTCACTGAAACGGTCACTGAAATTTATCTTCTACTTACCTTTAAAAAAGACACCACCTTGTCAGCTCAGAAGCAGAATGTGAAACAAGAAGTGAGAGCTCCCCGGGACAGTTACATATCATCAAATACACTCAGGGAACACCAGGGGGCATGTCTGGCAAGCATGAGTAAATGCAAATGCAATCTGTGTTTCTCTGTTTCCCTGGAGTCAGAGGCTCAGGTAGTCCAGACTGCTTTCCTGAACCTTATTTTAAAATCAGCTATTTTCACTGATATAATCTATCCCTTTCTCAGAAACAAACAAACGAACATTTGAGTTTATGTTACAAACCTGGGCTCTTTTTTCTCTAAGTTCTTGCTGTTGTAATCTCCTTTTCTCTCGTTTTTCTTGCAATTTTTCTACTTCTTTGACACAATTAGATTTTCTACGTGCTAAAAGGAAAAGGATAAACTGAAGAAACACAGGGTTTTTTTTTTATAGAAAAACTTTACAGAAATTTTATGACCAATTCAGCACACACACACACAAGTCCACAGTAATGAAGCATGCCAATTATATCTAGGTGAACTTGACTTATGAGCTGCTTTGATAGTAGGAACAGGACACTATACAGATGAGTCAAGAGAAATGACTCAGACACACTGATACATGTCATCTCTTGGTTTAGAATTACAGGCCTTTAAATTAAAAAGATCAATAAGTGTAACCTTTTTCTAGAACCTAAAAAAAACACTAGCTAGAATTTTAAATTCAAAGCAATTGGGCCATTGTTATAACCTCAAACAAAATGTTATTCTCCAGTATATATATATACACACTCCAATTAACAGACTAAAGTACTAAATACAAATTATAATTGGTTGGCAAAAGGAAATCTTTAGCCAAGTTTGTTTTAGATTGCTTACTACTTAAGAACTTGTAATGATGACCAAGAGAGACTACATGTACGCCTAAGATGACTGAATCCTTGATACGTTATTTACATACAAGGAGGTCCAAATTCCTTTTTTGCAGCTTGAACTGGAGATATATCTGAAACACTACCATTCTGTTGTGCAGAAGACGACTGTTCGGGAAGCTGACTAGGCCGTGCGCGTGCTGAACCAACCACTACAAAACAAATTTAATTCAGAACAATATTAAAAGCTAACCATGGTAAGAGGAAAAGACATCGCCATGTCAAATGTGATACACAAATATTGAACTCATGTCAGGCACAATAGCTCATAATCTATAAGCCCAGCACTTGGTAGGTTGAAGCAGAACGATTAATACATATCTGAGGCAAGCCTGGCAGTGAGACCATGCCTCAAAAGTCGATAAATACTGAGTGGTGGGGTGGTGGTGCATGCCTTTAATCCCAGCACTCATGAGGCAAAGGCAAATGGATCTCTGAGTTTGAGGCCTGCCTGGCCTTTAGAGTGAGTTCTAGGACAATAAAGGATGCTACATAAAGAAACCCTGTCTTGAAAATACCAAAATCAATAATTTAAATTTAGCAAACTGACAAACTTTTCAATAACTGGTGTATAAACTACTAAAAGCAAGCAACTCTATTCAGTAAATTGATACAATTAAAAGACATTTTCAAAGTAATAGTTACACCAGGAAAGAGGTAGGCAGGCAGATCTGAGTGTGAGACCAGTATGGCTTCTATAGCAAGTTACAAATAATGGAGAAACAGAGTCAAAAAGGTACAGATTTAACATCCACCAGTGTGATTTTAGCTAGAAAACTAAATACCAAACCTAAACTGACTTTTAATAATCTTTTTTTTTTAATGGTGGCTGGAGAGGCAACCATGGGTGCTGGGAACCGAACTCTTATATTTTTGGTTGTAAGCCTAGCCTTTAACGGCTAAGCCATCTTTCCAGTCCTAATAATCATTTTTAAAAATGCACATGAAACCCATGTCTTAAAATTCCAGAATGCACAGGTATTTCCCAGAGTATATGTACATTATATATAAATAACATATAAATTATATTATATATTATATGTGCAATATAAAGGCATTCTCATTTTTAAGAAAATGTACATGATTCAAACACATAGAAAACAAATGTAAAAGTCCTTCCAACCTTTCTTAACATTCCAGATTTCAATTTTTGCTGCCCAACATGCAAATCTTCAGTAGAGTAGTTCCCCATTGTAGATGTCATAAAAATGCAAAAAGGAACTTAAAATTAAATACAAAAGAAAGCTGGATGTGGTGGTGCATCTGTAATGCCAGCACTGGAGGGAGTCAAGAAGATCAGGAGCTCAAGATCATTCTTGGCTGCCTGTCACATTTTCAAGACAAACCTGGGCTACAGAGACCTTGTTTCAAACACCCACACATGCATACACCCATGCATATAGGTTCAGAAAATTTACCAAAAAATACAAGGTCTACAAAGACTTGGAGGATGGTAAGGAAAGGACTTTTTCCTCTCTACTTCTAATGTCCTCTCTGGCCCATCTTGTATTACATCCGTGCTCACAGATACATACAACTGTACAATAGTTCTGAACTGCTGAGCAGCAAAAACAAGTCAGTTTTATCCCTGTGTCCCGACTCAGAATATATAAAACTTGAAGCCAACTGTAACTTATCCATTCAAATTTTCTCTTCCCCACTCTAAAGTTAACCTTTAAACTTTTTGGAATCCTTAGTCAGAAAATTATCCAATCCAATGATAAGGAAATCCATCCTTGTGACATCATCATCCATTGGACCCCTTCCTCATTTCTTCTTTCTCTAATGTCCTCCTCAAATGTTGAAAACTGAGTGAGATGGACAAAAACTACATGTTTTGTGGAGTTCTATTTACCACATACATTTCTGAATTTTTTGTTTTGTCTTATTTAGAGTTTTGCTTTGTAGTCCTGCTGGCCTAGAATTCCTTATATAGAATAGACTGGCTTCCAACTTGCAGGGTCTTTCTGCTTCTGCCTCCCAAGCACTCAATTTACAGGCATGTCTCACCATGACTATCTCCTATTTTTTTAAACTAAAGAGAAATTATTAATGCAATTGGGATATTAAGAAACTAGGAATACTAATCTTAAAATTAACTATGTATGGTTAAAACAAAACACTAAGGATAACATTTACTTTTGATATACCTCATCAAGACCATGCTAAATGTCAGTAGGCAAGATTAAAGGATAACATTTTACTTCACCTCTATTATCTCTTGGGGGAGGGTCATTCTTAATAGATGCCACAGTTCGTCGGTTCTACAAAAGAAAATATTAATTTTTTTCTCTTCATTCCTCACAGCAATCAGTGCCCCAGCTTCATTTAATTAAACAGAAAGACAATAGTAACATAAAACCAAATGTAGAAAAACTATAAATTATCAAACAACTTTCTAATTCATCAATAGTCAAGTTCTGCAGGAGGCATGTATCGAAATCCCCCCATATATTCAGGAATGAGAAAGGTATGTTCTCAAAGATAACTTGCTCTAAGGACATTATTCTTATCAGTTTTACACAATTCTGTAGAGTCATTATTTTCTTAATTTTAAAGTTCAGTTTTAAGAATGACATTCCGTAATAATGTTTTCATTATTATTCAGAAAGGAACACATCAACACAGAGGAAAGGGAGAAATAGAAAAGGGAGGGGGTGGGAGAAGGGAAAAAGTTTGTAGTTTGGTCTCAGAACTATGGAGATCATACATCAAAGCAGACTGGAAGGCCCTCTGATTCTCAGGTTTGACTATTTCCATCATTAATCCATTACAATTATAGCAGATCTCAGAAAGCGCTTTATGTTTACTTCCATTTGATATGAGATCTGAAGTAAAATGAGGTTAAGTAACTACATTATAATGCTATCTTGCCAAAATTGTGTACAGGCTGGGTATCTAATATCTGAAAAGCCTGAGTCCAGAAATGTTTTATGTTTTTTTCGTGTCTTGGAATATTTGTATATGTGCACTCATGTGTGTAAAATCAGACATTTTGGAAATATGACTTAATTTTAAATGAAAATTCTTTTATATATACACATAGCCTGAAGACTGTGTGTGTGTCTGTATGTGAAACCTAGTGGATGACATCTGGTACCTGCTGTCATGTTCCACCTTATTCCTATGAGATAGGGTTACTCAGAACCTGGAACTGGGCTGGCAGCCAGCAAAGCCCCAGCAATCCTTCAGTCTCTACCCCACAGAGCTGTGGTTCCAGGTGTGTAGAGCACCAGTCACATCTGCTTTTTAGTTACATGTGTGCTAGTTAGGTAGACTCGAATCCTCACGACTGTGGAGCAAGTGCTCTTTACCAGGGACTCCAAACCTCAGTGAAGATAATTTTATATAATACTTTTGGCGTAGCTTCATCCAGACTGAAACTCATCACATAAGGTTTCAGGTGTAATTTCTCTCGTGTGGTCTGACGTTTGTTCTCAAAATGATAGATAGATAGATAGATAGATAGATAGATAGATAGATAGATAGATAGATAGATAGATAGATAGATAGATAGATGCATTTGGGGAGAGGCAAGATGGTTCAGTGGGTCACTTGCTTCACAAGTCTATCCTGACTAGTTCCTAGGTCACCCCTCCCCAAATAGCCAGGTGTTATTGTGTGCTCCTGTATTCCCAACACTCCTGCAGCAAGACAAGGGCCTGGAGTACACAGTAGAGCAGAGACAAGAGACCCCAGTCCAACAAGGGGGTGGAAGAAGGGCAGGTGAGAACCAACTCCTGAAAGCTGTCCTCTGATCTCCACATGAATGACATGGCATGCACATAGCCACTATCACACACAAACAAGAATAAAATATTAATAAATAAAAATGTTAAAACATTGGATTTTGGAGTAATTTGATCTTGGATTGAGGAATTAGTAGTAATCTTTGGATCTAAGGAGGTAATACAGTATTGACTCCTTTATTAAACTGAAATATCAAAGTATTATGAAACACTGACAGCCAGTTATCCTAAAAAGGTTTCACTACAGGTTTGAAAGGTTTAGCCACAGCACAGATTAAGGCAACCACCTTCTGATCCTATTTATATAGCTACTAGAGTGAATTTACTTAAAAACAAACCCACAGCAAATGATTTAGTTATACTCAATCCTGGCTGCACATTCCAATCAGATTAGGTAGTAGTTGGATAGTGTTATCTCCCAAAGTGGGGGCCCGGAAATCAGTACTTTTAAAAATGCATCAAGTGATTTTAATGGGAAGCAACTGTTAACAACAACACATAGAGCTCAGTGGTAGAATGCCAAGGTAAAGGGGAAAAACTGGGCTTGATTTCAACAAGGGAACGGGAAGGGTAGATACAAATACGCCAATCTATTAAGGAATTGAAGATGTATATGGAAACTGTCCATGTATATTAAAGACCTTTAAGCAGTGACTCTCGCTATGCTTAAATTAAAAGAACTCAAACTGATTTATGTTCATGTATGTAGTTTAAAAGCAGAATATTTTGAGGATGGTTAAGTCTCTATAATATGTTTGCATGTTTATAAATGTTTTCCTTGCAAAATATGGAGTTCCTATAGGCTTGAAAGTCATGTCACATTCATCTGTGAATTAACACAGTACCTGGACAAAGTAGAAAAATCAACAGATGTCACCGAATCAAACACTAAGAAGTAGAGGTTCAACAACATAGCAGGACTGTCTGGTTTTAAAGGCATTGTATTTTCATGGAATTTACTAATAGTAAAGAATTTCAAGAGCATGTAAGAACTACTTTTAAAGGATTTTTCACTTTTGCAGAGCTACGGTACATGGAGGTGGCAGCACTGCCCTTGCAACACCTTCTTTCTAACAACACATGGCTAGTTACAATACCCTTACCACTGCTCATCACTTCAGAGTACCAGAATAGTTATTACTCTTAGCAAACAGGTATTTTGTCATTCAACACTGACAAGAAAAAGCAACTTTAACTCAACTCTCCTGAGAAGCTATTAGTCCTCCAAAAATCCTAATGAGGCAAGAAATTATGATATGATCTAAAGACTGTCATGAATTGTGAACTAGATAACCCTAACTCAGGAAGGCATATATGTAACTCAGGAAGGCATATATGTATAACATGGATACAGAAGGTAGAAAGAATTTTTTTAAAATGTAAATCAAACAATACTTAACACATACATACTCTTCCAAGTCTACCAGTCTCAAGTCAGCGAGAGCAAGAGCCCATGTATGCGCGGACAAGCACCATACACACACACACCCCTAAATTTATCACTTACCTTCACAATTTTGTTCACTTTTGAGGATGATGATGGTGGAGGTATTTCCGGACTGGGCTCAATCTCTTCATCGGGTACAAGATCAGGGTTAAGCGAAAAGATGCTTTCCAGATCAATCTGTGTAAACAAGAACATGGGAGTTATAGAGCAGATGACTCTTAAATGACTTCAACTTAAAGATGACACGACACCACTTTGCAAAACAGTGTTCAGAATAATAACCCACATATACTTTACACTTGTTTTTTAATAATGTTGGTAAAAAGTGACCATCAAAACTACATAATTGTTACTTACATACAACAATTGTCAAATCTTGTGCACTGAGCTAAAGAACAGGTGATACTCCTTCTCTGGGTTAACTTTTAAAACTCACTTTCCAGTGAGGATTTCCTTCATGTGTATAGGGGTTTTATTGGCATGAATATCTGTGTACTGTGTGCATGTTTGGTACCCCCGGAAAGCAGGAAAGTGTTGGATCCTCTGGGACTATTACACATGGCTGTGAACAACCATGCTGGGGTGGGAAATTGAACCAGGGTCCCCTGGAAAAGCAGCCATTTATCTTAAACCACTGAATCATCTCTGCAGCCACTATTTGAAAGTTCTTAAAGGAATGATACAGAATGTCTACATCATATAAAATTATATGGCTTTCTGTTTTATTTTGTATTCAGAATCTTGACTAGAAATGATGATTAGCTCAGAAACCGTACCTCCTTGCCCTTTGTGTCTCCATTTTCTATCCACTCAACTGTTACACTTTCATTATCTTCATTTAAAGATGTTACCATTGCTTGGTGTATTCGGCCTAAGTAGGAATAAAACACACATTTTTAAAAGCAATGAATGACAGCATTCTTAAATATGGTTAATAATAATTATTAACTTAACAATTTGCATACACATCCATATATGTATGATGTGACAATTTTACAAGGAATTTTCACAAAAGAACTTTGTCCATTAGTTTCATAAAATCAAGTCCAGAAACTCAGGGTGTAAGATAAGAACAAAAGTCTATGTGATCAATGGCCACAGTGACACAGGTGATTAAAATTTTATGCCATCAAACAGTCTAGTGATTAGGAAGCAAAATTGCTATGAATCCAAACTGAACCTGTGGTATACAAAAAAAAAAAATCACAAGATTAACTGTTATACTATATAAGCAAAAAGATTACTTATGTGAAAATCACTTTAAATCATATTTGATGCAAACTAAAGACAGAAAAAGAATGAGTCCCCGAAGGCTAGGAAATAGTAATCTGTATGTCCTCTTCCACATGTTGCCTGAGCAAATCTACTAAGCATACTTTCTCTGATGACTGTAATCTTGTCATCAATAGACAGACTAGGATACAGAGTGCTTTGGATTTGTTTCCTTCCCCTTTCAATGGACTATGGACTTTACCAGTCAGTAACTGTAGAGCTAGTCATTAATTTAAATCACTATATAGTATTGTTTACTTGAGTTCATAGTAGTTTCTGAGGTTACATTTCCAGTATTATGAACAGAATATCAATATTTATGTCACTATACACTTGCTGCTTATTTCCTTAGAACAAATTCATAGAATCAGACCAATAGATTCTCAGATTATGTATCCACCAAATATTTATTGCTTATTTCATGTCTTTACTTCCATTGGACTAGTCAAGTGTAACTAGAGACTGCTCATTCATTTCCTGCCTGCCCAGACCCGAATAATCACACAGAAACTATATTAATTACAACACTGCTTGGCCAATGTCTAAGGTGTATTTCTAGCTAGCTCTTACACCTTAAATTAACCAATTTTTATCAATCTACGTATTACCACAAAGCTATGGCCTACCAGAAGGCATCTTTTTCCTTCGGCAGCTACATGGCATCTCCTGACTACACCTATTCTCTCTCCCTATCTCTTTCAGCCTGGCTATATTCTGCTCTGTTATAAGCCAAAGCAGCTTTATTCATCAACCAATAAAAGCAACACATATACCGAAGGACATCCCACATCATCTCCCCTCTTCTGTATAAATAAAAAGAAAGGCTTTAACTTTAACAAAATAAGATTACATATACAAAACAGTTATCAAGCAAGAATTATTTTTAGGTTTCACAGAGCCTTTTTGGGGATCTCGTTTAATCAAACCACATTATCCTGGAGGAAATCCACAGGTTCTCATCTTCTGTGGAACAAAAGCAGAACCTCTTTTCCAAAGCAACACATCCTCATACTCAAATTTTGAAGTCAAGATACCTCTAAAATATATATGTTGGTCTAATTTAGCAGCCCCCAGAATCAAATGTCTCTGCAGTCAAAAAAATTCAAACAAAACACAATAATATACATAATCCAGACTCACTGTGTATATACTATCTTTACATGGCTTAATTTTCTCTACTTCTTTAATCTATAACTGTTTGTATTCTGTCTCTTTAAAGACTTTTTATTTTTTAAGACCATTTACTTCTTTTTCTAACTGTTTATATTCTTTCCCCCCTCTCTTCCAAGCCTACATACAT